TTCCCAAGAATTCAAGCATCCTCACTCCGTTGTCATTCACTTTGTCTTCTCCGTGCTGCCCGATCGCCTGTCCTCTACTGGAAGCTTTCCCTACTCTGGAGTTGAAATCGCCCACAATGACAGCTTCTCCCTTCCTACTGAACCTCTGGACAACTTCCCCAATTTGTCCAAAGTTCTCCTACGCCTTGCTTGCAACTTTCTTCGACGACGGCGGGACGTATACGTTCCTTGGAAACAAATCTTTCTCACCCCGCTCCCCAGGTATCTTAAGCCATAGGCTTTCCTCGAACTCCATTTTCACCACTACTCCCACCACGTCAAAGAAGTGTTCCTTGACCAGGAAACCGACTCCCCCCTCCCCCCTTTCAACGGAAGGGGGGGTGTACTCATAGTCGTGCATGCCGTAGTCGTTAGACCATTGACCTCGCATCCCTACAAAGCCGGGACGGAGCACGCCGGGTTCTCACCGGACCAGGCTCTCACATCACCAAGCGCGAAGCGCCGTGAGATATTCGGCGAGTCGCATGAAGGGTGCGCTGCATCCTGCTAAGGGTTTTCGGCATCTTGTGCTTACTTCCTTGCGTACGGATGACAGCTGCGTATGACTTAATTTATTTTCTGGTGCTTTCACTTCCAGAGACAGTTGTAAGCACTGTGTAACTGCCTCGAGGGTGCTTGACCATTTTAACACAACGTGGTGCGATCATCCCCCTTGCGCGGAGTGAGGGTTCTCCACCCCGCACAACATGATCTACTCGACCACCATTATGGTTACCGCCAAAAAAAGAAACCGGAGGTAAAAAAAAAACGGTAACCTGGTTGCCGAGCTCACGAAGTGAATTGGCTTGTTTTACAACGTCGTTGCCAAGCGACGAAAACCCAACCCCGACGGCAAACACCGGGGGGGGAGGGGTGGGCTTGAAACGTGTTTAAGATTCTTCTACCAGGCCGACCACCCCATTGCCTGACGATATCTCGCGAAGATAATACTAGTAGCAGCGACCACCTTTTCCATATGAAGGTCGACAAGCATGCGCACACACAACCACGGACGGCTTCGAGAAACAACTCTCCCTCGGGCGCATCGGGTAGAACACTTTCCACGTGTCCTGAATCCCCCCACTTGCGGTGGTTTGACCTTTGCCCAGGTACAGAAACGACACATGCTCGTCAGCGACGGCGAACTCGAGCCTCCTCCAGTGCCCGCTAAACTATGCCTCCGGCGTTGGCCAAGCGTTTCGTCCTCTGGAGGTCCTGCTGTCCGACCCAGCGTGTTCGGCGGAAACTTTGGAAACCACGAACTGGAAAGTCGAGGTCTGTTTGTAGTGATAAATGATGTGTTCTTACTATTTGGCTTGTTGTGTGCTGTCTCTGGGATGACACGCCAGAGCACCCTTTTCTGCTTTATGCAGATGCTGTCCGTCTTACGCTCCTCGTAACATTGCATTCGTCGACTCCCTGCCCTCTTTCCCTCCGTCGTACCTCCCTCCCCTCGTGCGCCCGAAAATAACAACGACCTCGCCCACCACCATCACCGTCATCATCATCATCACAACGGATCGAAAAAAAGGATGGAATCGCTCTAGACTGTGACACCATCCCGACCTGCCGGATGACGTGTGTGGGGCCCAACGAGGAGCTCCTCCAGGCCGTGACGATTCACGCCGGGTGCATGGTGGAGTGGTTCTTCCACGCTGGCACTGTCCGGGTAGCCGCCACCCTGCTCATGTTCTTGTTCCTGAACGTTTCCCGAATCGTCCTCTTGGGAGGAGTCGTCAAGCTTAACTGGAGGTGAGCACCGCATATTGTGGTGCTTAGTGGCGAGCGCCCCTTGTTAAGTGTACTGACACCGACGAGCAGTGGAGCATGCGTGGGGGCGCCACAGAAGGCACCCTTTTTCTTACCTACATCCCTTCTCCAGTCGGTGACGCTAAATTTGTTGCTTGGGGAACCAAGTAATCGGAGTCACCGTACCAATCCCACCTTGTTGGTTGTCACCTGGTTGCTCTGTGTGTTCGATCTATGCCACATCGCGTTCGCACGCAGTACCCCGGTTGGTGTGTCCTCCAGGACGCGTCGTCACTATCCGAAACATCGAGATAGAATGAACCGTTTTCCATCCCCCCATTTCATATGACCGCCCCAAGTTTACTTCCTTTAAAAAAAACTGGACGGAAGATCCCGCCCGCTTCGCGCACGTACCCTTTTCCCTTATCCTCAACTTTGTCCTTGTCCTTCGTGGCCCTGTGCTTACTTGCCGTCAATAACGGCCCCAACCCCCTCCCACACTCACCCTGTACCCGGAGTCAGTCGGCTGCACCCCGGGGTCTTCACGTACAAGGGCACCTGCACCAGAGCCGGCGAGCTTATCGTCAAGAATCCCGAGAAAAAAGCGGCCAGGAGCCGAGACAACGTCGCTGCCACCACCGCCGTCGCCGCTGCCGCCGGCAAGGCAACCCTTCCGAACAGCGGCAAGAGCCCCTTGGCTCGAGCGAAGTCGAGAATAGCCTCACGGGCAAAAAGAAACGGCCCTTCACTCTCTCTTGGCAGCAGGGGCGGCGGCACTTCGAAGGAAAGAGGCGGCAGCATCGGGGGTTCTGCCTCCGAAGACATTGCGGGTTCCCCGCAACAAAAGGGAGAAGGGGCAGGGGGGAGCAAAGGAAAGGGGGGGCGTGGGCAACGAGCCGCCGCTGCCGCTGACGCCGCTACGGTTTCTCCACCCGATGCGCCGGGAGAACAGCCAGTGACGTTCAAGCAAGTCATATCCGGTGCGGTTGAGGAAGGGCTGAGAGACTACGAGAATGGCGCCCGGTGGCGGATACTGTTCGGGATTCTGCTGAACGTCCCTTGGATGCTCGTGCTGTGGTTCGGGAGGGGGAGCAACACGGCCTACGTGGCAGAGTAGCAGGCTCGACAAAGAAATCAGCACCTAGCAAGGCGACAGCACACAAGATTTGATGCCACCCTTCTCGCCGAACGCCGCTTTCCCTCGGACTTGTTTCGCCCGACTCAGAGGAGGCTGTCTGCGATGCTTCCATTCAGGCACGGTCCGGATCGCCACCATGCAGGGCGAGGCTTTTCTCAGGACAAAGGTTTCTGAGAGAGGGCGGCTCTCGTTGGTATTATGTGGGCCACACCCCAAATTCAAACACCGTACTTTCTACGGCTGCGTCTGCCTACAGAGAAAAATGCACCAAGGTGGTCTGTGCCATCGACTGTAGGTACAAGCAAGCGCTGCTGAACGCACTCCTCGAGAATCGAGGGGCAAGGGGAAGGCGGAGAGCGAACAGAGGGGAGGGAGCTCTACCCACCGCATATCTCCCGTACGACGGTAACCCTGGCTGCACCCAACCCCCCACAGAACTCCGTGCAAAAACACCAACCACAATATCGCTTTGCGCTGAGATGCGCCAAAACATGTTACAATCTGTCTCACAATTCGAAGAAGGGAACCCGCACGATCGGTACCCTACCCCGCCACCCACCCATATCGACAAAAAAACACTTGCAAGACTCCTGCGTAGGTCACAGGCATTTTCACGGCTCGGGGCAACCACAAAGTATTGTATGACCTACAATGTTCCGAGCCTCGTCAAACGCGCTCTGGAATGATGCATGAAAGATGAGGAGGTTGATTCTCCGCGCTTCATATAATACTGCGAACGACGGGCCGGAGAAGGCCACGACAGGGGGACAAGAAGGCATCATGCTCCCACTCTCTCCCAAATGAACGGCATGCCCGTGCCCCCCCCACCCTCCCTCCCCTCAAATACACATCCACCGCCCCCCCAACAAAACGAAATCACACTCTACTCATCACAGACCCCTGAGCACGCTGTCTCTCGGGTTAGTCGGGTCGACCTCCGAGAAGTGGGGGGCCTGCATAGAGACCACCCCCCCCTCCCCCTCCGTGTCCGGAACCAGTTCCGGGAACGACGCGCGGATCTCCGCCTTGACCTCCTCGAAGAGCCTGCGGTTACCCTCGGCGGTGAAGTGGACACCGTCGTGGAGGTACTCGTCCGCGGCGTCCTCGGCCCCCGAGCCCATGAGTCTGTACGCGTCCACCACCTTGGCGCCGATCTCCTTGCCCACCTAAACTTGTTTGTGGAGGCGGCGGCGGCGGCGGCCGTGTGTGTGTGTGTGTGTGTGTGTGTGTTATGTGTGCGTGTGCGCACGCTCATGAGTGCCCACAACTCTTTTGACTTGTTCGTGGTACCCACTTGTTTCCCGTTCTTTTTTTTTGTGTGTGTGTGGGGGGGGTACTCATGATTTGCATTCGGACCATTTTTGTGGGGAAGGGGAGTCTGTGGTGGTGTTCTGTTGGGTTTCCTCGTTCGTGGTGTGTTTGCTCGTGAGTCAGGTGTTCAATTCATGGTGGCTCATGGGTTGTTGCTCTTCGGTTGGCCTTGCTCGTTTCAGTCCCCAACACAAGGGGAACACAGAGCCCGTTCGCATCTCCCAGCGTCTGAGGTGCGTCAGAACCACGCAACGCACACCATACACACACGCACATAAACAAGAACGTAAACGTCTTGAGGCTCACCATGCTTAGGACAAGCAAATATGTACATAGGGCTGAAGCCGAATAGTGCGGTCGATGCTAACTAAAGAGAGACAAGCATACACACCTCTGCGCACGCCATAGCGTAGGACATGGTGGCCTCCTGCTTGCGGTCCATGTCTCTCGCCTGTAACTGCCTGTTCTCCATCCACTTCCTCTGCGACAACCAAGCCGCGGCGGGACGACACAAACACACAAGCCCGCACGTTTCCGTAACAGAAGGCACGTTATCGCTTGGTCGTCGAATAAACACGGGCCAGCAGGCGAGGTGCGCAGCCGCAACCACTCGAAGAGCTGATCACAAGGTGAAGCAGAAAAAACTAACAGGGATGGTGTAGTTGGGAACACCCCCCCCGCACAACAACGGTACAGCTCAGCACAGCTGCTGGACAAAACGTTAACAATCAACAGCAGCACATATCCGATAGCAGCAGCAACAACTTCCAGATAAGACACAAAACAGGGGGTGTACGGAAGTAGTTGTGGCTCGCGTGTGGGATTTCCCCTACCGCCGTGGGCAAGCGTCTTGCGAGGTTTCCTGCGGCAACGTCGTTCGTGAAGGGGACATTCAAAACGCACGCTGCATGTAGCCCCTACAGGGATGGAGGGCGATTTGACCTGTTGATGCCATCTCCCGCGCGTGGTTGGAGCCTTTGGCCTTTGTACTTCTTAGCCGTGTTGGACTAATGACCACCGGACTCGGGTCTCGTCTTTCTGATCTGTTCGGCCTCGTGCGGAGTGCTGCAGCTGAACTGCTGTAGAGTCCAGAACACTTGCAATGTGAAGATATCAACAGCAACAGAAACAACAACAGTAACAACAATCCCCAGCGGCCAAAACAAACAAACATCAAACGACAGTGACAACAGCACAGCAATAACAACGCCAACAGAACAACCGCCTTCACCACAGTCACCAACGACCACAACGACACGGGGCTAACGATGATTGCACCTCGTGGATGGGAGGGGGCGTGATGAGCATCACCCTTGCTTCCTTGTGTACCGTGCGGACGTGTGCCGCCATGAGCTTAAGGTTTTCCTTGTATTCCTGAAGGGGCACTGTTGCCCGGGGTGCGCGGAAAAGGGACAAAAAGGGGCCACGCAGGAGACATGTGGGGATCATGCAGGCATCAATGAACCACCTGCTTCGTCAACAGCTTTGCTAAAAGAACGGGATTCCCTTTCTGGTGACACGCCCGCTCCTCGCAGTTTTTTTTCTTCGTGGCACCGACTTCAAAAACGACCCCAATATACAAGACCACAGGTGGCGATAAGAGATCCCCAAGTACAAGGCGAACGCTGAATCAAAACGTTCTTGGCCGAAGCGTGAGCGCGTCCGGCGCTGAAAGTGTCGCTGGTGAAAGTGAGCGTCGGTGTGGGCATTCGGTGGTGAGCTGTCGCCCCCCGTATTCATCCTGCGGTGGTAATCAAGGCCGCTCTCCAACACGCGAACGCGCCTACACGACACACACACACGCACCATACTGAGCGTTGCCGGGGAGGACGCAGTCGTTGGCGCCGAGGAAGATGGTGACAAGCTTCACCGGGGTGTTGCCGCCGGGCACGAAGAGTCGGTCCATGAGCGGCATGAGCCACCGGGTGTTGTAGCCGCTGAAGCCACGGTTGACCACGTCGAACCGGCGCTCCCACCAGTGCGCCAGCAGCGACAACCAACCCAACCTCTCGGCATCAAACCTTTCGTTGCGAGGTTGCGTGTTTGTTGTTTGGCAATGCACGACTAAGCAAGAGGGAAAATGTGAGCAAGTGTGTTCCCCCCCACCCGTTCACCTTGCTTCTTTCACTCTTCACAGCAGCTCTTTATTCCCCACAAGTGGGGAACATGCCGACATGAAGGCCTTACGCATGCGCAGAACCCACCGATACCTGTTGCAACCACACGACCTACAAAGACGAATTGCGGCATTTTCTGTGGAACTACACTTACCAACGGCTTCCATCCTGCAAGCAAGGGGTACAGACCACAAGCGACACAGTTCGTTGATAGATTGTACCATAGCCTCGCGCCTTGGGGCACTCGAAACTGGTATCCAAAGCAAACTCTACAGTCAGCTCTTCATCATATGATATAAGGCCTCACCCGTACTGTGTCAGGCTGTCCCCGAAGCAAATCACCTTTGGCCGAACAGCCTCGCGTTGCTGCTGCAAGGATGGGGGGGGGGCGGGATAGAGATTGGGCACAGCAGTCTTGCTGTGAAACACGGTAGAAACGCCGAACGTGGACAGACGACGCCAGTCAGAGACTATCGCGGTCGATGGTTGTTTTTGTCAACCGCAGTTCGAATGAACCCAGTACAGTCGAGGGACCCTTTTAGTGCCGGTTGAATAGTGCCAGATGCCCGGTATAGTGCCGGTAAAATCTCTGCACACAGGCGGAGCTCTCAATAGTGCCAGACCGGCACTAATTAAAGCATGCCCGATATAGTGCCGGTTCGGCACTGCTGTCACCCCCAATAGTGCCGGTACTCCGCACGCGCGAAACACACACACGCACAACCCAGGGCAGAAAACATAGACTCCACACACAGAAATAGGGTACACGTGCTGCTGCAGACCCGAACAGCTCTACACAGGGGCGTACCATGCCCTGTGCGGAAGGTGAACTGTGCCAACTACAGGACACCACGCCGCAAGACCCTCATGGTCACGGCTGCCAGGGAGGATGTGGCGGGCGACTGCACGGCATTTGCGGCAGTGTGGTTGATGTAGGCAACGAGAATCACCGCATCTGCAGCGCGTGCGTCGCCAAAGCCGGCAAGCGCAAAGTGTCAGCAGCAGACAGCACTGGGAAGGCACAATCTAAACGTCCGAAGGCCACGAATGGGGGGAGTAACAAGTCTCAGCCTCGTGCGCGGCCAGATTTCAGCGCCAAGTG